GAACTCCTGCCAGCTTCCCCAATGACTTTGCCGGTCAGATGCTAGCTAGGAAGGTTGCAAATGGTGATCACATGACCGTGGGACTCTGCAACCATCGTAAAAGCACGACAGTTGTCAAGCACCTGAATCATGATCAAGTGACCACAGGAATGCTGTGACCATCCTAAGTGTGAGGACTGGTAATAAGGAACTTTTTTCAGCACCATCGTAACTTCAAACAGTCACTAAAATAATGGTCGTTAAGCAAGGACTACCTGTATATTGAGAAGGAAAATATAGAAAATAAGAAATAAATATTTCTTCAAAGCTGATTTTCTTTATTTCTCTTTCATTTTCTTCTCCCAGGCAATGCAAAAGGCAGCAGTGCAGCAGTGAAGGAGGGAGAAGATGAACAGCCGTCCAGGAGAAGCCTTGATGTTTTCCATGGAACGACCATGAGCTGGACTTGGTTCCCAGGCTATGTCCCCAGCGGAGCTGTGGCTTACTGGAACAGCTATGCTAGTAGGACAGAATATCCTTGCATGGTTTCAGGCTGCGCAGCTGGCTTCTACAGTCCCAACCGTGGTTCTTACTGCTATTACCCATATGGAAACAAAGAACTCTCCGCCTCTCAGTTTTGGATTTTGGTGAATGGACATGACTTTGAATCACTGAGCTGGAAGGGAGATTCATGGGGTGGAGTCCCATCCAACTCCATCAACACCTGTGCAGGTGTAAGATTATATGTTGGTAAAAATAAGTATGGATTAGGGAAGGTAGACAGTAAAAATCAAGCCTTCTTCCTCGGTTATAATGGCAAGGAGTACTGGTATAAAAGCTATGATGTCCTGACCATTAATAAAGACTATCGCTCTCAGAGCATATCCAATGTCAGGTACAGGCTAAACCAGGGATCCTACAGTGAGTCAGGCATGACATTAGCCTCCAGCAAACTCACCAATAAAGACTGTAGGGCAGTGAAGAAGACCACCACTTTGTCGGGAACGGTGACTTCTGAACATACCTGGGATGTTGGCATGTCCATCTCTCAGGACATGAGCTTTAGCATGACAGCAGGGAGACCTGAGGTCTTAGGAGGATCATGGAGCATTTCATCAGAGAAAACCTTCAACTGGAATAAGGGTTATACATACAGCAAATCGGTCACATATTCCGAGACACTCGAGGTTGAAGTCCCAGCCAACCACATCTGTGAGTTGGTAATGATTGGCATGAAAATGAGAGGACAGGTTCCCTTCACTGCCACAGCCACCCGTTATTACCGCAACGGAAGCAGCCGAAGTGCCACCATCCAAGGAGTCAGCCACAATGTAGTTGGGGTAAAAGGAGAGTCACAGGTTGAGCGCTGTGTCCCCATCCCAAATGTTCCCCCATGTAATATATAGATTGGGCACCCTAAAATGATTTTCTAGCTATATTAGAATGCAGCAAGAATCCAAAAGAACTTAATTTTATTTATTTATTTTATATTTCAAATTTAGATACCTCCCATCTCACGAAAAAGTGACTCTGGATCATTAAGTTAATAAAGGATACACAGAGGTTTTTGTCAGCCCTACTAGATAGACCAGACCTGGAAATCAACCCCACAGGAAGGCTAAAACTACTTTGATTGAGATAGGCTATAATGATGGAATCTTGCAAGCCTGTTTGTGCTCTTCCTCCTCCTCCTCCTCCTCCTTAACTCCAGTGAATTAGGGAGGCATCTGCCTGAGCTGCTTCTGAATGTTGTGTTGTTGCTCTGGACTTAAAAAATGCTTCAGCCCCTGTTGCCTAGGCAGTGGTGCCTGCATATTTCCATCAGCGTCTTCTTCCTTACTCCCTACACCTACACCCCAAAGGTCTTCTGCATTAGACTTCTGGATTAGACGGGAAAGTCTTCTTTTTCCTATCTCCTATCCCTTCAGAAGATGAGCCCGCTGCCTGAAGAGATGCATTTAGTTATAGCTTTAATCTTTTTTTGGTCAAGGCTGTAAGGTGCCAAGCAGGCCATATTATGCGAAATCCAAAGATAGGGATTTGCACCAGGCTAAGGGAGCTGACCTTTTGCCTTACAGATAT